GATTCAGTTTACCCTGCACTCCTTGGAAAACGGATGGAGCTGTCTGTTTCCGTAAAGATTTACAGCCGTGGAAACCCTATGGAATAGTTCTATTCTGTCTTACAGGGAAGAACTAAATTGGCTTGTGGGTTTATAGTTTGGTTTATAGTGTGTCTGACTGAAGGTTTTGCGTTTAGTTAAATAAATTGTATGGCTTAGTGCCCTACTTTTTTTGTCAGTCAGACTTCCAGTCACCTGTATCATGGAAACAAGTTGTGCAAACCAGTCTCGGGAGATAAAGATCACCCACTTCTGACACTAAATCATGTTGTGGATAATAAATCCCACTACACACTCAACCTGCATTCTATAGAAATCTCAGCTTCCCTTCTTTATTTAATTCAGACCCCAGCTACCCATGCAGCCCTTTCTCTCTTGTTCCTAGCCACCTGGACCTAGCTCAGTGGGTCTGGCTGCAAGCTGGGAGTCGACATGACCCCTTTCACTTTAGACCAGCCAGCTCCCAATGTGGGATTTTGTCTATGTGCTCATTGTACCAGGTGCAAGTCTGGGAGTCCTTATAACTCCTTCCACTTTAGACAAACAGGCTACTCCTGTTCCTTTGGGTCTGATAATTCATTGGAATGACTCACAGAGCATTTAGGAGACACCAGACCTGTGATAACAATTTGAATATAACAAAAAAGATATAAATTGAGAGTTACATAGGTAAGGTCTTGAAGGAGTCACAGCATGGAGCTTCCTTTCCCCAAAGAGTCTACCTTCTCCCATTCATGGTCACCATTCAGGAAGCTCCAGGAGCCTCTGTCTTCCAAGGCTTTTATTATGTCTCCTAATGCTTCGTCAGCACTGGGCCCCAGGTGATCTCTCCTGGCATGGTCAGTCCCCACATTAACTTCATGTGACAATCTAGTTAAGGAACCAAGACTAAAGGCCAAATGACTTCCTGCAAGGTGCTCCCACACTTTGCACCAGTGGAAAATGTGTTCCAGTAGCATAGGAAAAAGTATTCATATTTTATGCTTTTAGTCCTGAGACCTGAGTCTATTGTGTTAATAGTAGAATCTCAGATTGGTGTCACTGTAGAACTTATTTATCTAGCTGCTGTAAGTGCTATCTCAGTGTACAGACTAAACACAATTAAGTGAGCTTCTCACAATCAACTCTGAGATAGTCAAAAGAAAAGACAGTGAGAGAGGAAAGAGATACTTTAATAGATAAGCAGAGTACATCAGAAAAAAATTGATCTTGTTCTAGATAATCATTACTAAAGCAATGTTGAAGTTGAAGTTGTATTACTTACATTCTGTGATCACTGGTTTCTTCATCACAGGAATGAGTGAGACTAAATTTACTCACTTGCTAATTATGTATTTGTATACTACCTGTGATGTTTCATTCTCTGCAGTAGATGTTGGGGCACATGGCAGAAAGCATGATCTCTGTCATGGGAGTGGGAGGTGGCAAGAGCAGAAGTCACAGAGACAGGCAGGAGCTAGGTCATGAAGGGTTAAAGAATCTGAAAGTAAGAGTAGAGCTCCTAAATATGAACAGATTAATGATGAGATTAATTGTGGTATGAAACATGGCTTGGGAGGAGCAAGACTAGAGAAAAGGTTTGGTTAGAAGACTTAGGTAAGAGTCTTAGTAAGAAGTGAAAGGCTGACCCAATAAGAAAGGAGTTAGAAGGGAAGAGTGATAGATTTGAGCAAGACTAGAAAGAGAGAGAATTGACAGAATTGCATGATTGGCTGGATATGAGGGATGAGTAACAGGATGACACTTAGTTGGCTGGTTTGAGCATCTGAGTCGATGGCGATGCTGCTCATTGCTTGAGGTAATATCAGTAGGAACAAGGTTTCTGGAAGAGAGGAGCTCAAGAGAGATCTGGGTGAAGATAGAGATTTGGAAATTAACAGCATTTGGCTGGTAATTGCAGCTTTAAAATTAGATAAAACTCACTCTGAAAGTAGTTCATATGAGAGGTAACTAGGTCCAAAGGAAAAACCTTGCGTCATACCAGATGTAAGGAAAGAATAGAAAAAGAAGAACCAGTAAAGGGGAATGGGAAGGAAAGGCCAGAGAATAGAAGAAACAAGAAGGGAATATGGTCTTGTAGAAGTTAAAGAATGCATCAGGACGATTTTAAAGGCAAGGAACGAGTACTCACTGATATCTAATGAGTCAGACAAGTCATTTGATTTAGGAACAAGTGTGTTAATATTTAAGGAGTTCTGATGGTGCTGTAGGATAAGCACTGGACTGCTAATCGTAAGTAAGTAGTTCAACCCCACCAGCTACTCCTGGGGAAAGATGAGACTTCCTGCTCCTGTAAAGATTTATAGCCTCACAAGCCCTATACAGGATTGCTGTGAGTTGGGATAGACTGGGTAGTGGTGAGTTTGGTTTGGTTTGGTGTTAATGTTGATCTTATGGAAAACAGTTGGAGTGGAGTGATAGAACAGAAACCAAGTTGTAGGGTGAATGCAGATGGTGAATGAGAAGTGGAAGCAATTCTTTCAAGAAGAGAAAACATAGGTGGGGATTTGAGAATGCATGGGTTCAGGGTAAGAGGTGAGAGGCTTGCTCACATTTAAATGTTGAGGAAATGAAACCAGTACAGTGAGAAAGTTGAAGATGCAGGAGACAAAAAGGACAGTTAATGGAGTGAAAGGAAGTGAGGGAATTGGGGTTTCAGAACACTTGTGGAGGAATTATTCATCCTTAAGATGAGATCCTCTCTTCTCTTCTACTATGACAAAAAGAAAGAAAGGATGCGTGTAATTATAACCAACTTGTATTGTTATTTTCATGGTTGTTGACCTAGGCTCTTAATGAAATAGAAGATGAAGGAAGAGAAGTAACTGTTAATAGCCAATCAGAAGAAAGTGAGAATGAGTTGGATAGCACTCTGAACTCTGAGTCTAACATGAATACAGAGAGGTATGTATATATGGGATAAATATCTACATAGCTTCCCTTTTTTCCAAAGTCATTATAAATGTTTATTTATTGTATTACCTTGCTTATAAATTGGGAGTATTTTTAAACTTTCTACTTTGATATCAGGAATTCTGGGGTCACTGTGAGTGGGAATCAACTCCACAGCACTGGGTTTTGTTTTGTTTTTGATATCATGGCAAATTTACAAAATGTTATAAGAATAGTACAAAGAACTGCTATGTTCTCATCACCTAAATTGCTAAGATTTCCCCACATTTGTTTTATCTTCCTGTTTCTTTTTGTACACATGCACAATTTTGAAGAGCCTTTTTAGAGTACAGCACATGCTGTTTATCCCTAAGCACTGTAGTACATATTTCCTAAGAACTAGTATGTCATTTTCACAATCAGAATACAATTATTAAAATTAGAAGTCACAAAGATTCCATTTAATCATCTAACTGACAGACCTTACATTTCTCCAGTTGTCCTGTTGAAAAACTTCATGGCCATTAATTTTTTCTATTTGAAGAACCAGTGATGATCGCTTATTTAGTTTTCATGTTTCTTTTATCTTCTTTAATCTGGAGCAACAACAAAAACCACCCATCTGTCCATTTGTTGCACTCTGGTGACTTGCATGTTGTTGTGATGCTGGAAGCTATCCCATGGGTATTTCAAGTATTAGCAGAATCACCCACGGTGAACTAGTTTCAGTGGAGCTTCCAGACTAAACTTGTTGTTGTTGTGAAGTGCCATTGAGTCAATTCCGACCCATAGCGACCCTGTATACGGTTTCCAAGGAGCAGTTGGTGAGCTTGAACCACTGACCTTGCAGTTCAAATGACTTTGCAGTCTGACGAATTAGCCTGCAGCATCACACCAGGACTCCCCAGACTAACCTAGAAGAGCATAAATGATTTGTTGATCTGCTTTTGAAACTTAACCAATGAAAACCCTACGGATAGCAACAGAATATTGTCTGATACAGTACTGGAAGATGAGCCTCCTAGACGGGACGGCTCTCAAAATACAGTGACTGTAACATTGGACTCAAGCATACCAGTGACCGTGATGATGGTACAAGACCCGACAATGTTTCATTCTGTAGTACATGAGTTGGAATTGACTTGACAGCAACTAACAAGACAGCAATCTGGAACATTTCCTCAGTGCTTCTTTGTTTTACATGAAAAAGCACAGAGCATTTATTTTATAAAATGCCCTCCAACTTGGCTTTGTCTGCTGTTTCCTTGTGTTGGACTCTGGTTATCCATTTTGGGCTGGAATACCACTAGTGCAATGTTAGGTCCTTCAGGGCATCACATCAGGAGGCAGTGATGTCATTGGTCCTGTTACTGGTTCAGGAACTAGATGGTGAAATAGGGACAACTCTTTGAAGAAGTTTGGTAATAATGGAGAATAATAGGAATTTGAGTAGTTATGGGGCCAGGGCAACGGAGGAAAGGCTTGACTATTTAAATGTTGATGAGATGTAACCAGTACAGTGAAATTGTTGGAGATGTCTGAGACAAGTGTGATCACTTATTCAAACTGCTGTCCACCAGGTTTCTTTAATAGCTGTGGTGTAATGGATCACTTTTATATGCTCTGTCTTGCCAATAAGGTCTATGCAAGGAAGAAACTTGTGGCTCACCAAGAGGGTTGGATGATGATGTTGTTGTTGTTAAGTGCTGTCGAGTTGATTCCGACCCATTGCGACCCTGTACAGGGTATCCGAGGCTATAAATCTTTACGGGGGCAGAAAGCCTCATCTTTCTCCTGTGGAATAACTGGTAGTTTCTAACTGCTGACCTTGCAATTCACAGCCCGATTTGTAACCAGCATGCTACCAGAGCTCCTTATTGGGTTGGATAGTATGCTAATAATGCAAATAAAGAGCATGGTTATCCTTTTTGTGAGGTTGGGACCATTCAAATAAAATGGATGGGAACCTAGTGAGGGGACTGATCAGTTTTACCATCCTGTTAGACTTAAATTGAGCCACCCCAGAAGCAGAGAGGGGAACATCACTACTACTAAGAAGAAGAGATAGAGTGTATCCTTTTGGATCCAGGGTTCCTACACCAGAGCCAGGTACAAGATGGCGAGAGATGGTTGCAGAGTAATGATGGCAGCAGAACCAGGAGACTGGCACAAGATGGTGTGGTGGGCTTCCTGGTCCATGGAGCAAGGTAGCTACAGTGGGTGTGCCAAACCACAGAGAGAATGAGCTGAGTGCCTACCGGCAGAATGCATTTGGTGGGATGGGGTGCCTCTGGGCATTTGTTGGCAGAGCTAGGTTTGCTGACCCACAGAATCAGACAAAAGATTCAGTGTCTTTAGACCAATGCTTACTGATAGAGTAGGGTGCCCCTAGGCTCTTATTAGCAGTGGTAAAGAGCCTTGTGTGTAACATCAGACCAAGCAGGACAGAGGCCAGGCTAAAGGCCAGAGAAGGTTTGCCTGTGAGCACCACTCTGGCTGTCCTGATCTAATAACTATCCTGAGTCTTTCGGCTCCTGAGTTATAACTTATTACTTCCCCACTAAACCCTATAATTGTGAGTGTTTTCTGTAGGGTTCTGTGTGGCCATTGTGGTGAATTATCAAATACAGCAGAGAAGTAGAAAGTGCCTTGGGAGGAATGGCTGGTGTTAGAGTTGGTAAAATGGTTGGGAAGAGAGGAGGTGGCCTCTGCTTCATAGAATTCAGCTTTGGGCTAATGGTGTTGGCGATTCTCTCTCATCTCCTTTTGAAAGTAGAGGAGGTCCAATTAATTCCCTTGTACCACCATTTTTATAATGGCTTATATTTCTTTACTTACTTATTTTGATGTTCAATTATCTCAGGTTTGGCTAATGAGAGCTCCTTCAAGATATTTCTAGTCTTCTTTTGATATATGTCTTTTTTTTTTTTTTTCTATTTAACTCTTATTTTCTGGCACATAATATAAGGAGGCTTAAAGAACTTCATGTAAAAATAGCACTGAGACATAATGGAATTTTTCATGAACTTTTTGAAGCCCCCTCGTATTTTAAGTTCATCTTGCACTTTCCTGTCCTCCTAGAATCAGTCATTTCTTTAAGAAACCCTGTTTCATGGTTCATTTTATTGAAGAAGGGTATTTAGAAACAAAGATCTAGTTAGTAAGTATGCTTGTTGCTTTTGGCACATTGCTTGCAGACCTTTTCAGCACACACAAAAACATATAAATTTATCTTTATTAACTTCTGTTTCTCTATTTCTTAATCATCAGTTCATATTGATGTATCCAAGTTCAGTCTAACACTGTAGTACTCTTCTTAGCCTTCTTCCATTCCATATATGTGTCTTTTTTCTTTTACACTGAGAAACAAGTCTACAAGCATTACTCCATATTTTTTACTTCATTCAGTTCTGTAATGCATGATGCATAATTTTAGAATTACTGCTTCCATTAAAAAAAACTAAGACCAAAACTATTACTGCTAAGTTGATTCCAGCTCATGGTGACCCCATGCATTAGAGGATAGAACTGGTCCATAGGGTTTTCTTGGCTGTAATCTTTATGGAAAGAATCCGTTATAGCATAATGGATTATGAGCTGGACTGCTAACCTCAAGGTCACTAGTTTGAATCCACCAGCTGCTCCTCAGGAGAAAGAGGAGATTTTCTGTTCTTGTAAAGATTTGTAGCCTTGGAAATGGTATACATGGTCGCTATGAGTAGGAACTGATTCCATAGCACAAAGCCACCACCACCACCACCACCAATCTTTATGGCAGCAGATCCATCAGGCCTTTCTTCTGTGGTACACTGAGTGGGTTTAAACCTCTGATCTTTATGTTAGTTGTTGTTCTTAAGTACTGTGGCGTCGGTTCCGACTCATAGTGACCCTGCACAGGCTGTAAACCTTCACGGGAGCTGAAAGCCTCCTCTCCTGTGGAACTGCTGACCTTGAGGTTCGCAGTCCAATTCGTAACCACTACCCCATTCCAACCATGTCTCAGTTACTGTATCTCAGAGCCCTGTTGTTCCAAGGCTGTGCATACATCATTATTTACTCTGTCCCACTTAGCCCATGCAAACCTGCCTAGTTGCTCTCCCATCCGCTTTGTTCTTCCATTCCCCTCTCCCTTCTTGCCCCCCTCCCCAGCACCCAAACTATCTTGTATCTATTCCCTGCCCTGTGTTTCTCCTTCCTTCCCTCCCTTCACCCCACCCTCCACATCCCAGCAACTAGCAAAGAACCTCACCCCCCTTTAGTATGGGTTCTTTTTCTTAGTCTTTTACAGTAGTGGCCCTATGCAATATTTCTCCTTTTGTGACTGACTAATTTCACTTAATATAATATCCTCAAGGTTCATCCATGTTATGCGGTGACTTGGAGCTTCCTTGTTATTCTTCAGGGTAGCATAACATTCCATTGTGTGTATGTACTACAGTTTGTTTATCCATCCATTCTTCAGTTGATGGGCACTTAGGCTGTCTCCATCATTTTGCTGTTGTAAATAGTGCTGCT